AATCTTTGAATCAGGTGGGGTGGGGTATAACCTCTTAGTAAATTGAAATCACCTGATTTCTGTTTCTCCTCTAAGAACATCTGATAGATTGAGTAGACAGGATGAAAAAACTCAGAAAAATCTTGAACCAGCTAAAATCATTCTGTTTTTGTCTGGGAAAAACCTATTCCTCTATGATGTCACAAAAAAGTCATAAAAATAACCAGTTTTAATCATTTAACTTACACTATAGTGTAGCTGTGGAGCTTTACTGCCGGTGTAGAATGCTTATACAAGTTAATCAACAATCAAGTAGTCATTAATTACTTGGCTATGATCATAAAGCAGAATCTATATTATATAGTTACTGAGTTATAAATAAGGTTATTGTACTGCTATGCAGCTGTGGAGCCTTAAATCTATTAATGCCTATTGACATAAGATATGTATCTAAATTAAAACATTGTTAGTGATCATTGCACGATCCTACTAAGCAGCTTTATATATATATTTATTAAGGTTCTTGCACTTCTATGCAGCTGTGGAGCCTTATGTATACCAATGCCTATTTGCATCATATGCTTAAGTTATTGATTTGGTGATTATTAAGCAATTGCTTTCAGCCACTGAACCATGATCACACTAAGCAAGCTCTAATTCATAAAGTCAATTAAGGTTTTTGCACTTCTACACAGTATTAGAGCTTTACATCTATCAATATCTATTGGCACAAAATACTTATACTAAGCAACTCTATATCATGTATTAATTAAGGTTCTTGTACTGCTATGTAGCCATAAAGCCTTACATATACTAATACCTATCAAGCAGTGGTCATTGAGCTGTTTTCAGTTACTGAGCTACAGGAATATTTTAAGAAGAGTTAATATAGTAATTACTATGAATTATCACCCTCTATATAATTACATGAAAATTTTTATTGGTTATAAAATATAAACAAAATATCAGGTGATATCAATTATATATACTGTATAAAAGTATTTTACAACATACCAAAAAAAACAGAACTTTTTTTGATATAAATTTGCACGCTAATTGGTTATTTATTCTTGATTTGATTGGTTTAATAGGATTAGGTGAATTATAACAATTGACAAAATAATTATCGAATAAAGTAGCTGCACAGCATATGGTATCATGATTGAATCTAGCTGCCACACCAAAATTTCATGGAATTCCTCAATTTTAATTGGCTAATAGCCATAATTTACAAAATTTTGGCTCACATTACATAATTATTTATATAATTTTTGGCCATAATTAACTTTTTAACTTTTTCATTCCCAAAATAGAAATTTTTAAAAAAATAGACCCGTTGTGAAAGAGTAAATCGACGCTAAGATATCTTGGATCAATTTGTCCAAAATTGGTCATGGTAATACCTGCCAAATATGCTATATATAGCAGATATACTATATATACTCTATATAGCAAATATGCTATATATGCTCTATATAGCCGATATGCTATATATACTATATATAGCAGATATAGCATATTGACCCTATATGGTAAATAGAGTAGAAATATCAGAAAATATTTGATAGTAACAAAACATATATATAAAAAGTCTGAAACGTAGCTTGAATAAAATACCTTCCAAGTTCAATTTAAATAAGTTCTAATAAAACCTTCGAAATCAGAGTAGAAGTATTTGTCTTTGACCTCATTATACCTACTTATCAAAAATCATTTGACATTATAATAAATCCTTGTCCCTGTGACTTTGTATATCAATTGTCAAATATAGTAAGAAAGAGATATTGTATTAGTAATTAAAGTCCTTATATATTAAAATTATCTATAATTTGATTAGTGATCAATGTCATTGTCCCTAATTTATGAATCCTGTAATATCGTAATGTTGTACCACCTTTCCGATTGGTCAATTTTGATCACAAGACCAAGTTGCAGTAATCCTTAATAAAGAAAATAAAGTGTTAGTAAAGGAGAAGAGATTAAATCACCAAACTAAAAAAGTAAGTACTCATCTGAATCTAATACTATCGCTATAAATCCAAAATAACCCTGGTTACTCAGACCAAGTCTTTTCATGTCTCAATCATAGCTTTACCAATATTGGAGTTTGGTTATTATAGCTATAGTGTTCTAGTTTAGATAGTTTATTGGTATCAGTGTTGTAGTAAGTTGTTTTATTTCAGCCTATACTTATTCTAACACAGCTCACACTATTTTGCTTTTCACAATTTGGTAGTAACTGTGAGATTAAACTTCCCTAATCACCTCATTTATAAACTCTTATTTCAACCTAAATTAAAAACTATTTTCATTCAATTAAAAAAAAAAATTTTTTTTTAACAATCAAAACAAGCAAATTAAGCCTCTATCAGTAAAACTTATCTTAAAACATGAAAGACTTATTATTCAAAAACGATTGTATTATTGAAGAAAACAGGTTTCAAGACCAAGATAATCAACCCGCTCAACAAACTCAGGCCCGTGATCTTAGAGAAATAGCACAAAGTATTTAGAGAAGTCACTATCTATAATGTTCCTCCAATTAACTGTAAAAATAATTAGATTCACATTAAAACTTTAAGGGTAAAGAGGATGAGAACCCAGTTAAATGGGTTGAGGTATTCAAAAAAGCTGCTAATGCTAATAATTGGACCTTGGCCAGAAAAATTAAAATCGCATCAGAACACTTGTTAGAAATTGCCACTAGTTGGTATAATGATCACAAAAATGATTTACTTTTGTAGAACGATAAAATTAACCCTAATAATAGCTTTATCCAAGCCTTCATTAAGTATTTTTTGACCCCTGAATATAAACACTAGTGGCAAATAGAATTGAACACCTTAGTTCAAAAAGAAAATAAAAAGGTCGACTATTATGCCTACTAGTTCAAGAGGTTATTTAGAAGGGTGGATCTAGCTATAAGTTGCTTGACATATATATGGTTAGAATGTTTTTGGGAGGTCTCTATAGAAAACTGCCCTGCTTATATCTCTTGAAGACTTCAAAAAGTTAGATGACACAATTGTAAAAGCCCAAAAATTAAAGCAGAAACCTATTATAAAAATAAAAACAGTAAGAATGAGGCTACCAATAAGCTTATAGATGATCTAACCCAATGAATACAACAAATAGTGGCAAACTATGAGTGATTAACTACTGCCCTTGCCCCTGAAATCGAAAATTGTTTTGTTTAGCCACAGATTTATCAGCCATGTTCAACAAACAATGATAATATTGTTTGTTATAATTGTGGGGAAAGAGGCCACATAGCTTAAAATTGTTTCTCTGGATAACATCAAACCTCTAGAAGAGCTCCTGTAACCAAGACTGAAGGTACAGACCATCCAAATATTAACTTATGTAATATTTTTAACCAGGAACCCGAAAGAGAAGTAAAAACTGCTTCTCAACCCGACTACCAACTTTATGCCATAAAACAGCATGAAAAACCAGATATAGAGACTAAGCCTAATTGGAAAGAAAGATTAAAAATAGGGTAGCCTTAGAGCAAAATCACAAACCAACATCAACCCAACCTATTTCTATGGACGAAATTATCCAAGAACACACCCAAACTCCAGCCCAACTTCAATCAGAAGTAGTTGAGACCAAGACGTACTAGAGGATCCTCTATAGTTAATTTGACGCTACCAATACAATATCACTAGGACTTGTTGAATCAGCATTCAAATGCCACCTACTCCAAAATGTTGCAAATATCCAAGCAACGCAAAAATCTCACCCAAGCGTTGCATTACCCAAAAATAACCCCTATCACTGAGACTAATCTGGCAAACCCTAACCTAAATTCAAGAACTACTGCTGCAAAATATTATGTTCAGGTTAAAAATAATCCAGATTTTGCAGTTTTGGACTTTGGGGCTGCTATAAGCATTCTGTCCAAAAAATTAATAGACAAATTGGGTTTAACTATTCAAGAACCGTCAATAGTAGTGTTTTAACTACCAACAGGAGTCAGAAAAGGGCCCTAAAAAAATAGAAGACATAAAGTTAGCTGTGGGTAGCGTATTAGCACTTACCAGTTTCCAGGTTATTGAGTTCTCTGATAAAATAATGCTTCTTGGCATTGACTGGTTTTAAAAAATTCAGGCCTGAATCCATTTCGATAAGCAAAAGTTACTCTTTAGGTATCTAGAAAAGAGTAGCGAAATTTCTATTATACAAACACATGAAGACAAATTAGAAATCCCTCAAGAAGCATACAGTAGTGATGAGAATGACTTTTTTAATACTTACGAAAGTGAGGACGATCTGGAAAAAGTCGTAAGTTATCATATGGATGCAGCCCAAACTGATGATAAAGAATTGTACCTCAACCCATAGAAAGATATCCACAGCCCTGCTATTTACTTGACCCTGATTGAGGAAATTCCAACCTCAAGTAATAGTAATGAATCTGAACTGTCTCCTACTGAGATAATTAATAGGTTAGTTAATATTGAAATCTTAAATAATAAACAACAGATAGAAGCTATACATATCTTATAAAGATTTCATGGTTTATTTGCTTCTGAGTTAGATGAATTAGGCTAGTATCAAGAAATACAACATAAAATCGATACTGGTAATACAAGGCCTACAAACAATTGGCGTATCAGGTTTTATCAGATAAACAATACTTCCTAAATAAAGAAATAGAAAAGTTATTAAACAACAAGTTAATAGTAAGATTAAGAGTCCCTGAGCTTCACCAGTTGTTATCATCCCTAAAAAAAATAGAAAGCTCAGGTTATGTGTCAATTATAGAAGACTAAATACTATTACAAAAAAAAATATGTTCTCCTTACCTAAATCGATGACTTGCTGGAGACATTTGAAAAGGCTGAATAGTTTTCTTCTCTTGATTTAGCCAGTAGGTACTGGCAAATAGGGATGAAAGAGAAAGACCGTGAGAAAACTGTATTTATAACCAAACAGGATGTTTATGCTTTAAATGTAATACTCTTTGGATTATGTAATACCTCAGCAATATTTCAGAAGGCTATAAACTACCTCCTATACGAATATATTAGACAATATATAGCCATCTATTTAGACAACATAGTAATTTATTCTACAACTTACTATGATCACTTAGCTTACCTTTCAAACATTTTTTCCAAAATAAAGTTGGCCAGGTTAAAATTAAACCCCAAAAGTATGACTTTTCAAAAATGATATTAATTTTTTAGGGCACACAGTAGAGAAAAAAGAGATCAGGCCCAACAAAAATAAGGTGGTTAAAGTTAAGAAATTTCTACTCCAACTAACTTGAGACAGCTGAGAGGCTTCATCAGGCTCACCTCTTATTATTAACATTTTATAAAAAACTTTGCTACAATAGCCAAGCTGCTACATATATTATTGAAAAGGGAGTTAAATATAAATAAAGAAAAAAGCAAGAATGATCTTTTAATAATTTAAAAACTTACTTTACTACAGCCCCAATTCTAAGATATCTTGATTTCAAAAAAATGTTCTATTTGCATACTGATGTATCAGATATAGGTCTCGGCCAGTATAGGAAATCTATTTTGAGATTTATGTTCTTATGAGAACATGTTTATTTAATTTAATATTCTAAAAAATTTTTTTATGTTCTCAAATAAAAAATCTCTCTCTCTTTCTCTCTCTCTCACTTACTCACTCACTCACTCACTCACTCACTCAAGTTCAGTTTAATTATTTTGCAGATCTTTAAATCTGAACTAAACTTTAAATTTATAAATCTGAACAATAATTTATATATATATTTTTTTATATAGAACAAAATTACTTAAAGCATAAAGATAAAATTAATTAGTAAAAGTTTGAGAATTTTATTATTTTTCATAATTTTATTAATAAAATTATAAAAAATATTATAATTTTCAAAATTTTATCTTTTACTTTAATTAGAGATTCATCACTCAACTAGAGAGAGCTCATAGTGTAATGTAACGTGGTTTATATATAGAAATTAGAGTATTGGAATGTGAGCTGCTTCTATCTAAATCTTTTTTTCGTACTAAGTTAATCATCTTTGGGCCTCTAATTGAAGTTGTAGAGCTCGTTGTGTTGAATCTAATGGTGGTTGAATCATCAAAATCGGCTTGGTGAATCACAAGATATCTTCGAAAACATTTCACCGACTATGTAAACTTCTCTTTCAACAATACTATTATTGAAAGAGAAGTTTACATAGTCGGCGAATCGTTTTTCAAAGATAACTTGTGATCCACCAAGCCGATTTTGACGATTCAACTACCATTAGATTCGTCTCGACGAGCACTACAACTTCAATTAGAGGCCCAAAGGTGATTAACTTAGTACAAAAAAAAGTTTTAGATAGATGCAGCTCACATTCTAAAAACTCTAATTTCTATATGTAAACCACGTCATGTTATACTATAAGCTCTCTCTGGTTGAGTGGTGAATCACCAATTAAGTAATTTTAGTTTTTGTACAAAAATATATTACATAGAGAACATATTTTTCAAAATTACTGTTCTCAAAAAAATTTTTATAGAGAATATCTTAAATTTTTAGATGTTCTCAAATTTAAAGCAATGTTCTTATGAGAACATGAGAACATAAGATTTCCAACACTGGTCTCAGCACTGTATTATTCCAAAAAGATAACAACAACTGGGAGTATGCTATTGCATTCACTAGCAAAAGCCTAACCCAGCCCAAAAGAAACTATTCGACCACTGAGTTAGAATGTTATGCAGTGGTCTGGTGGTCAAATACTTCCACTATTATTTAGACTACAAGCTTTTTGTTATTATCACTGATCATTTGGCTCTAAAATAGCTCCAAACCAGTATGTTAAAGGGTAAAAGGCCTTATTGGATCTTATATCTCCAATCTTATAATTTACTATTGTTCATCAGGCTGGTCGAATATAGACATATTATCTAGAATGATTGAGAATGAATATAAAGCATTTAACCCCCATGAAAAAGCAGCTGATATGGAAAATATTGATAGAAGATATAAAAAGAATACAATTTTTAGACCTCTAACAAGGTCAGAGACCAGGCTGATCATTTAACTGAAGAGGTTGAAGTATTCCACATAATAACTGAAGATTATCTTAACAACGAAATTGAGTGAGAAGATGAAAATCCTTTGACCAATATTGAAAATGCATAGGATGAAATGTGGACCAATTGGTGGATAAAGGGGAGTTTGAGCAATATCTGAAAAAAAAGACAATATAGGGAGTTAGTGCAGCAATTGAATAACAAATTCTATGAAGAAATAACCTTGACAACACAAATAGGATATTAATTACTATCAGAATCTGAAAACAAAATTGAAATGGATATTAATAATGAATATTTGATTAACTTACCTAAATGGTCTGACAATAAGTTAGAATTCGAGAATAGCGATTATAAAGCATATGATCCAGGATATGCCCATAATTTCCATATAGGTCATGGTGAATGTTGGTAGAATATCAACATCAAAAAGGAAATATTCAGAATCAACCCTGAGTGGCTTTATCTTTGGCCAATGATATAACTATAGATTAGGACTATTACCTTAGAATAGAATAAGTAAATTAGTAAAATTAAAACAAATATAAAATGATAAGATAAATTAATCAACAAAAAAAAAAGATAACAAAAAAAAAAAAAAACTTAGCTTATTACTAACCTGACGATAAAGTAAGGTTGGTCAAGATGGGATAGGGTGCATTGTGGGGCCCTATTCAAGAAGACAATAATAGTTAAAATTCAAGGTCCTATGGGGCTGTAAAATCATGTGACCCAAGAATAAGCAGTATACCTGAAAAATAGAAGGTGGTAGACATTAGTAATAAGACAAAAAAAAAGAAGAAAGCACAATGCTAAAAAATATTTTCAAGAAAGGGATACTTATCCAAACTGAAATATTCAAAATTTACAAAAACTTAGGTCCCTAAGACTAAAAATCCAATGTCAAAACCAATTCGGCCCAGGTAGTTGGTATTCTGGCACAAGTTCAAAAAAAAAAGAGAGGGTGATTAGTTCATAGAATTAGATCAAAAAAAAAAAAAAAAAAAAAAAAAAAAAAAAAAAAAAAAAAAAAAAAAAAAAAAACAAATAATAATAATAATAATAAAATACTCATCTTAGACCGATCAAGATTTAGAATCAAAAAAAAATGAATTAGTCCAATGTAAAAAAGACAAAATAGCTAGATAACAATAACCAGTAAGATACTTATCTAGTAATAAATCCAGAATTGTTAGGACCAATCTTAAAAAAAAGGAGATAGAATCAAAAATACAAAAGAATTGTATAAAATTATTGAAGCAATTTGCATTCGATCTTACAACCCCAGCGCTAACTAGTAATT